TTGAAAAAGGTTGAACAAGAAGAGGAGGAGAAATTCATCATTTTTGCTGCCAATGAAATGATGCTTGCATCATCCCGCTCTGCATCAAGGCTTCGATCGGGCCGCACCAAAGTAAACCAGTTGGATATGTACTCGACGGATCAAATCGAGGAAGTTCCGCCTAATGCCAGCGGCGGATTTCAGGGAGTGTAGTGATGGGCTGATGGCAGGGGATCTCCGGATAACAGCAGGAAGCATGGCCAGCATCATCGCCATCCGCCTCTTCTTCCCTACTCCGTCCATTGACCATCGTTCCTGGCACGACGCCCGATGTCGGCGGCGGAGGTCACTCAATGGTAGCGCCGAAATCAGGACTCGACCCAACGGAAGCCCATAAGTGCCCTTCTCACAAAGTAGCCGGAGCAGCAACGACTGCGGGGGAACTCATCAGTCCAAGAACTGTTGTGTTTCATGCCAAGAATCAATCTTTCTCCCCATTGGTTGAGGAATGTGAAGAAATTAGGGATTGAATATGGGTGGTGTAGGGATTAGAAGAATTAGTTTTTATTTTAATTTTTAGTAATTGTGATATGAGGTGGAAATATTAAAAGATTAAAATTTATTATTTTATTAATTTTTTAGTTGCCACATCACAAACTTAATGGTCAACCATGAGAGTTGACTGCCACATAAGCTAAAGTTAACGGAAGTGGATGGAGAGTGACCATTGATGAAGCGATAGTGCAAAGTTAGTGACCACGAATAGAATTAAATATTTTTAGTGACCAAATGTGAACGTTTTTAGTAATCTCAGTGATCAACCTTGCAATTTACCCTTCTATTTTCTTTCACGAAATGTAATAAAGCAAAGCAATAATCACCTTTAATACACAAATCATCATCCAATTAAGTATAACATGTGTCATTGCACAAATGTCATTTAATCCTAACAACTTGTAAAATAATTTAACTATTCCTCTACATTATTATACAAAATACTGAAGGTTAATAACATTTTCTACCCCTCTATTATCGCAAATTAACAAAAGTACCATCTACTAAATTTTTGCACAAATATATCCTTCTACTATTAAAATGTAACAAATATAATCTTATGTCTAATTATCCGTTAAACAACTGTTAATGGGTTGAGAAATGACTTAATTTCACCTCATTTATGCTAATTTAGTTTTAATTATTTTTCCCCAAATCGATTAAAATTAAAACAAACCCTAAAGAAATCCCGCCACCCAAAGAGAAACCATTAGACCCGACCCCCCTGAAGTCTCCGCCACCGATCAACCCCCTGGCGGCTGCTCCCGACTTCTCATTGCCGACAGTTAGAGCAGGAAGGACCTCTACACGGCTACTACCTCTCTACTAGGCCTCTTCTCCACAGCTGGACGCTCGATTCTTCCCAAGAATCCCACCAAATAACATGAACGAGTCAAGTTCAAGTTCAAGGTCTCTGTTTTTCTTTTTCCACAGCCCCTTGGTTTTGTTAATGCGCCACAAAGAACTACCTTCTACCCAAATGTATTCAGAGGCAGAGCAACCCCAAAATGACCCAGCTAGTCTTCAATCTCTACTCCCGTCTCCCTACAAAACAAATCCCCTTGAGAATTCCCCAAACTCACCCAAACCCACCCTGCTAATAATGCCTCCATCCACTCTTACCATCACTATGAAATTCTTCTTTGTTTTTATCGTCGGAACTCTGGCCTCCGTCGTTGTGGCTCAGAACTTTGGTTGCGCATCCGACGTCTGCTGCAGCAAATGTGGCTTATGGAACTACCGCCGACCACTGCGGCGCAGGCTGCCAAAGCAGCTCATGCAACAAAAATGACGTTCAGGTGGCCGACATCGTCACCCCTGAATTATTCAAAAAGGCATCATCGACCAGTCCGACGACGGCTGTGCGGCAAAGAAGAATTGAGCGCCACACTTTTAGCTGCGAGACAAATGATTTCTAGTTGGGTGGCATGGATTTTTTAAGGTTTGTTTTAATTTTAATTTATTTGGACAGAATAACTAAAACTAAATTAGCATTAAATGAGGGACAATTAAGTCATTTCAACCCATGTAACAACCATTTAACAGATAATTAGACAAAAGATTATATTTGTTACGTTTTAATAGTAGAAGTGCCCATAAAAAAAAATAGTAGAAGTGCACGTTTATGCAAAAATTTAGTAGAGGGGTACGTTTGTTAATTTGCCATAGTAGAGGGGTAGAAAATGCTATTATGATAAGAAATAACATCAATACATATCTATCATGTTGATAATCCAAATTCCAACACTTAAAATTAAAAATAATCAAACATCTACATCTAATTAGTGAATACTAACTACCAAAACATCAAACACAAGAACTAAGATCGTCATCATTCACAAACATCACAGAAACAAAGACTACTATGGTGCAATGTTCGCTCCGTCGATTGCAAAAGGGTGTCAGAGGATGATTTCTGAATTCTAATTTTTAAACACATTTAAGACTTTGGATGAAGGGTTGTTTGCAATAAATGTAAATTGGGATGTCCAAAATTGCACTTTGGCTGGTTTTGAACCTTTGGACTTTTTCCCTTAGCCAAAGACCTTAACTATATGGTTATACTAGTAGGCGGTTATCAGTTAACTACTAAGCAAAATACAACTAACCAAAACCGAACCACTAAGAAATTAGCGATTATCGGTGAACTATTATCAGTTGTTGTCGGTTCGGTTATTAGTTAAAACTGATATTCGACTAACCGTTTACCACCCTATCCCTAACTCCAATAGGTTGGAATATTATGATTATTGAAGTTTCATATTATTCGGTATTAGGGATTACGAGATTGGGATTGGTAAATACCAAAATACCGAACAATACGAAATATAAGCTAGTGTGTATTTTATCCTCTCAGCTAGACTCTCTCATTCACTACTGCACGAGGTTTTCGTTAACGCAAAGATGCTTTGAATGATACTGAGGCATCGTATCAGGCTCTTTGTCTTTCAACACTTTCGGGTATACAGCATGGACGAATTCATACTTCGCCAAAGAAGGAAAGATCCACCAGAGACTTCACCCGAGACCAATGAAAGGAAAGCTCAACCACCAATCTATTGTTATTTTAATAATACCAAAAAGCAAACACTAGTATTAGTCTTCTCTCAGCCTCCAATTCGTCAAATTAAAGATTACCAATAACAAAAACTTGAGATGTCACCTCTCCTCCATTCTCCTTATCCATATCCTAGCTCTAGCTCTAGCTCTAGCCAAACTCAAAACTCTTTGCTTAGTCTCTTTGTTCTATATTAAACAATCAAATCTAAATTATAAATTGAATTAGTAATTATAAAGGTAATTAATTTCGTATTTCATAATACCGATTGGGATACTAAAGTACCGATTGGGATACCGAAATATTTAGGGATTAAGATCGGGATACCGAAATTATTTAGGGATTGGGATTGATTTTAAGGTGTAATTTGGTATTTGAGATTTCGGTATTTAGTATTGGGATACCGATCTCCACCTCTAGATACAAATCTAAATCCATGAATCAAAAACCCAACCTAACCCAACCCAACACAAATAAATGGGTATGGATACAAACCCATCAAATTTTACCCAATTACTATTTGTTTAGATTTCATACCCAACTCAATTAGATGGAAAAAAATCCATAGGTATGAATAAATTTGCCATTCCTTACATAGCTACGCGCCACCCAATTTTTTTATTTATTTTTATGAATAAGTTGTTTTATTCATCTAGAAATGGAGACTTAGTGAAAATCCCCCTAACTGGAACCCAAGCAACGAACACAGTACAACAACAAGAGATCAAAATTACAACTACACAACACAAAGAGAACAAATCACCATCTAAATACACTATACTATTGATATAGTCCTCGGTTATGGCAAGCTATACTTGAGGAAATCCACTCCTAAGCAGCTTCAGCAATGCTTGCAACTTCCTAAGCAATTGGCTTTCAGTCATCACTTCCCCAGTCATAACCCTCCTGCATCTTTCCCTCCAAATCTCCGCCACCACCATCACCCAAAGAAGTCTACCACAGTCAGAGGTAGTACAATTTAGTCGAAAGAGAGACATAGCAATCTCCAACGATCCCTCCCAGTTAGCACCTACCATATTCCTACCTGCAAAAACAACCTGAAGTACATGCTGAGAATAGGAACATTCAAAGTAGAGATGATCTCTAGATTCTGCCACAGAGAAACATAAAGGGCAGACATTAACTACTGAATTATTCCACCTCTGCACCTTATCTAGAGTGGAGATTCTGTTCAGAATGACTAACCAAACTATCAGCTTGTCTCTAGGAGTCCCAAAAGACTTCCATACCAATGAATACCACCGAACTTTCCCATGCTTAACCCGAAGTGTTTCCCAGACTCGCTTAACTGAGAATTTATCCATCACACTATCATCCCAATACACTCCTGCAGATCGGATCCTGAGATGCTGAGCTACTTGTGGTCTTATTTTTAGTATCTTTCTCCAAGCCCAGGAACAAGGGATGGAAAGAGTTATGTCCCAGATGGAAGTGTAGGTAAGTTGGTAGTGCCTTACCCAATTTGCCCATAAAGAAGAGGAATTCGAGGATATAGCCCAGAGGTATCTGACTAGACATGCCATGTTCCAGCTTCGAAGGTCCTTAAAACCCAATCCACCCTCCTTAGGATACCAAAATATTTAGGGATTGAGATTGGGATACCGAAATTATTTAGGGATTGAAATTGAGATGGCTTTTAGGGGATAATTCGATATTTGAAATTTCGATATTTAGTATTGAGATACCGATACCATATCGATTTCCACCCCTACCAGCAGGTATGCCAGCAAAATTTGACCATTATCTTTAAAAAAAACCAACGTCATATTCGTGGCCCACATGTACACGGGAAAGCGTGCCTCCTTCACATCTCATCTAACTCTCGTTTTCCACTTTTGTTTTTCATTTATTTTATCTAACTCTTCTCCCAGTCCCCGAATTATTCAAACAATAATAAAATCCCACCAGCAACTCCCAAACGAATCCATTTTCACTTCTTCCCTCCCTCCCTCCCTCCCATTCCCCCGCAATTCTCACGGGCAATCCGTTCCCCAAGCAGAAACAAAGAAGAAAACAAACTAAGATAGTATACCTCCATGGAAGAGTCCTCAGCTCAACGCCGCCTCAACACCGTTCAGAGCCACTTGCTCCTCGGCGGCGGAGACGGCGACGACGATCACTCGCTTCGTTTGCAACCTAACTTCACCGCCTCGTTGCAGTTCGTTAACAGTTAAGTCAGCGCCGGAAATTGTTCGCGATTTTGTTTGAATGTTGAGAAGCTGTTAAGAGTAGTAATCGGGAGCAGGTTTTCCGATGAGTCCTCTCTGCTTCCGGTTGCTTGATTCTGCTCTCGTGGAGGCTACTTTCGCAATCGCGTAATTTTTATTTCTTTTGTTTGGCTGCTGTGGTTGAATTTTTGCGAGCAGGTTATACGTACAGCGTAAGTCTACCGGAGAAATTGCAGACGGGGAAATGGAATGTTTACAGGTGATTGCCAAAGCTTACTACTCGTGTGCGAAATTTTGTAGCTATTACAATTTTTGCTCTGAATTGTGCGATTCTTTGTATGATAGATCTGTGCGGTCTCCATTGAAGCTTCTGAGCAGGTTTCCTGATCATCCAGAGATTGGGACATTGCACGATAACTTTCAGTGAGTCACTTCCTATTTATAAGTTCTTGGCTAGTTGATTTCTTAGGAGACGAATTGCTATGAGGTAGAGGATTTGAACTGTTGAGCTGTGAATGATAATTTCTTTGTGTAATGCTTCAGGCATGCTGTTGAGAGTTATCGAGATTACAAGTACTTGGGGACACGAATTCGGCAAGGTGGAAAAATTGGAGAGTAGGTCTTTCGTACAATAAGTTTGTCTATGTTGCCATTATAATTTTCCTTTGACTAATTTGTATTTGGAAATCATTCTCATGAGAGGCATGGTTATGATTTGTTCCTTGAAATGATAGCTACATGTGGATGACATATGGAGAAGCTGCTACTGCTAGGGAAGCGATAGGTTCTGGCCTTCGTTATCATGGCTTGGATAAGGTAAGTTATGAGCTGGATTCTGGACTCTGTCTGTCCTACTCTCTGTTCTTATTCTTTGCTTTGTGTGTTTTACTTTTAGCTCTGGTTGAGTGAGAACTTAATTCAAGTTTGTGTATCGGTGAAACGTTAGATATTGACTCATCAATGTGGAACAGGGAGCTTGTGTTGGAGCTTATTTCATAAACAGACCAGAATGGCTGATCGTGGATCATGCTTGTGCAGCATATTCATACATCTCGGTTCCCTTATATGATACTCTTGGTATGAGAGTGACCTCGGACAATGAACACAACTTGCTACATTCGGTCTTCCCTGTAATTACAGCGGCAAATTCTGCATGCAGGTCCAGATGCAGTTAAGTTTGTGGTGAATCATGCTGATGTACAAGCCATCTTTTGTACCCCTGAGACCTTGAACACTGTGAGCTATTTTTTGCCTTCTTTTTAAGCTTTCAGTAAGTAATGTTTGTACTGTATTGTTTAACTGTCTATGGCCTCTCATGAGTCCTGATTTTTGCAGCTGTTGACATTTGTCTCTGAGATTCCGTCTGTGAGGCTCATAGTGGTGCGTATTTCTGGGATATCTTCAAAGCAATGTGTTCAGATATCAGCTGTGCCCATTTTGTTCATCCCTTGTCACTGTTGGTATTTTTCTTTACGATAGGTAGTTGGGGGTGTAGATGAGAACTTACCATTGCTGCCTTCTTCTGGAGTCAAGCTCATATCTTATCTGAAATTGATTGGTGAGGTAATCTTTCTTCTAATGATTTTTCTATATTTGCCGAGGACTGAGAGACTGATAGGCTTTGCCTGTCTCTCTCTGTTTCCCTGCCACCTTTCTTTAAATAATAGCATCGATAGTGAGATGATGCTTATTTTTTCGTAGTCGTAGTTGGCATATTTGGTAAAATGGAGTTTCCATGAGATGATGCATAAACAAAAGATGTGTATTATTTTTTTAACTGGAAGGCTTGGAAACTTTTTCCTGCTTAAATTATGATAGAAAGAGCAGCCACATCGCCTGATCACCATGCATTTTGTGGTTCTAGGGCCGCAGCAGTCTACAACCTTTTATTCCTCCTAAACCTGAAGATGTTGCAACCATATGTTACACCAGCGGTACAACTGGGACGCCGAAGGTAATTTTACATGTTCTTATTATGCCAGTTTTCCTCAAGCCACCATTTCCTTCTTTCCCCCATATTTTTTGATAATCTCTTTTATATATCTCACTTCTATACTTACCAAGTTAACTTTACTTCTTGCTAAAGGGAGTTGTCTTGACACATGGGAACTTGATCGCAAGTGTTGCTGGTTCCAGTTTGTCTATCAAATTCAATTGTTCAGATATGTGAGTTGCTGATTTCACTTCAGTTGCTTCATGTTTATATGTTCTCCGTGAGAGCTTTGCTGTCTCCCCTGCTAATACATAATGCAAATGTCTTCACAGCTACATTTCTTACCTTCCTTTGGCACACATCTACGAACGGACGAACCAAATATCAGCTGTGTACTATGGTGTTGCTGTTGGCTTCTATCAGGGGGTTAGTTATTCAATTCACTCTGTTATACTTACCAGTATTCTGTATTGAATACGTGTGCTACAGTAGAGGACTGGACATGGGATTAGTTTTTCAGAATCCTGTCCCAACCACGTTTTCCTTGAAGTAGTGTCAACCTCACGATGCAGATCCAGTTCACTAGCATTTTGAGTATAGGCAGACTTGAATTCCCAAACCTAGATGTCTCGAGCAAATAGTGTTTTACTGGTTACATCAAGTACACGAGGACTAAAGGAACATAGACCAGTAAAACAGGTTATAGCAGTTCAAGTTTATTTGAGCTGTCAATAAATCTACTGATTTGTTACTGCTTCCCTGCCAATTCAGGACAGTTTGAAATTGATGGATGATTTGGCAGCTTTAAGACCGACAATATTCTGCAGTGTCCCTCGGTTGTATAATCGGATATATGATGGGTAAGATTATGATAAAGGCTTCAGTTCATTTGATTGGAGTTTTTCCTGGCATTTTTTTTATCACTTGATTGTTACAGGATCACAGCTGCCGTGAAGACTTCTGGAGCCTTAAAGGAGAAATTGTTTAATGCTGCCTTCAACTCAAAGAAACAAGCAATAATGAGCGGTATGTGTATTGGCTATTCCTGAGTGGTTCATGACTTTGAGGGGTTGTCGTAAAATAGCCAATTCTTAAATTTTTATTTTCTTGCTGCTTGGAAAGTCTACAAGTTTTGGAGCTGTGGTTATTGGTTAATATGTTATCCTGTAAGATGATTACTTCAGGCCGAACTCCATCGCCAATGTGGGACAGATTGGTATTCAATAAAATAAAAGCTAAGCTAGGAGGGCGGGTTCGGCTTATGGGATCAGGGGCGTCACCTCTGTCTCCTGATGTTATGGACTTCTTGAGGGTGTAAGACTTTGTTCCGAAGAACACTTTCTATCACTCTGTCTATATGGGAATCAGTGCTTCTGCTCACACTACAGTTTATTACATGTCCTCTGGTTTACAGGTGCTTTGGATGTCAAGTGCTTGAGGGATATGGAATGACTGAGACGTCTTGCATCATAAGCATTATGGATGAGGGTGACAATCTATCTGGTCACGTTGGATCTCCAAATCCTGCTTGTGGTTAGTGAGCTTTCGTATTGGCAATAAAATTTGTCTCTATTTCTGCTTGTGGGTGTCTATGAAGTGCATAATTGCTCGTCTCATTTTGGATCATATTGTTTATTTAAAATTCCTATTCCGAGAGTGTGTCCTGGATATCTGAAACTCACTGATGGAGCCGATTGGTTCAATCAATAAAAAGCCTATTAAAGAAGTGGAATTTGAAAGAATTATTGAAACAAGTGAGGTATTGTGAAGTTATTAGGCGATGACACAATTTGTTGGCTTCTGACTTCTGGTTTTCCCTGTTAATTACGATTCTCTTGTCCATGTTGTTTCTCATATTTTAGAAGTAAAACTGGTGGATGTTCCTGAAATGAATTACACCTCCGAAGACCAGCCTTTTCCTCGTGGCGAAATCTGTGTTAGGGGTCCAACCATCTTCCAGGGCTACTACAAAGATCAAACCCAGACGTACTATACCTACCTTCATATATATCTTCACATCATTTCAGTAAAATCATTCCCATCCTATGCCTCAGCTATCTAACGTCTCCTAAATTTCACAGAGGAGAAGTAATAGACGAGGATGGATGGTTACATACAGGAGATATTGGATTATGGCTAGATGGTGGCCGCCTCAAGATTGTTGATAGGTTGGTTATTTAACATTCCTCCACTGTCAGGAAGCGATTTTCGTTTGTTTAGCATATCTCTAACTCCATCGTCAATTTTGTTTCGTTTCAGGAAAAAGAACATCTTCAAGCTCGCACAGGGCGAATACATAGCTCCAGAGAAGATCGAGAACGTTTACACCAAAAGCAGATTCGTTGGCCAGTGTTTCGTCTATGGTAAAAAAGACAGCTGAGACATAGCATCATATGTAACATCAAGCTTCTCTGTGTTCAACATCTTCTGTTACTGCTGATTTTGCTTTGTTCATGAACAGGTGATAGCTTCAACTCATCCTTAGTCGCCATAGTATCAGTGGATCCAGACGTGTTGACAGAATGGGCAACTTCCCAAGGGATCAAGGTTCGCTTTCTGAACTATCTCGTTCTGTTCTCTCTCTCTCTCTAGCCAACGATCATCTGATCCTTGTTTTCACAATGCAGGCCGACGATTTAGGCCGACTATGCAATGATCTAAGAGCTAGAGCCGCAGTCCTCGCTGACATGGATTCAATAGGAAGAGAAGCACAGGTGAATATTTCATGCTTTCCAATCTCAAAATCATTTTTCCTCACAAGTTCGAGCTCGTAATCATTTGTTTCTGACGCTGCGAAATCCTGCAGTTGAGAGGTTTCGAGTTTGCCAAGGCTGTAACTCTTGTTCCTGAGCCGTTTACCCTGGAGAATGGGCTACTAACTCCAACCTTCAAGGTATTACAGAGTTGCAAGTGATAGTCTTCCAGTTCGTGACTTTCTCGTTGCTGAGTTCTTTTCTTTGTCTTCGTTGGGCAGATTAAGAGGCCGCAGGCTAAGGAATATTTTGCCAAAGCCATAACTGACATGTACGACGAGCTTTCTGCTTCCGAACATGGAACTCCGACCTCAAAGCTGTAGTGAGACCGGTCAGATGAATCGTTCATTTCATTGGTTGGTTACTTTCAGTCACTTATCAGCTTAGATTAATGACACAGAATTAGTATAAGAAAATAATCCACCCAAAATCCAACAAATAATAAATATATATAATAATTCGTTACTTTAACTTTTGAGGTGAAATGAGTTTGTTTTGGATGCCGGGGCGAGGGTGTATATTCACAAATAAATTGTTGTTGTAAACTAAATTCTGAACTGAATATGGGGTTCCCGAATTACGAGCCACTCAACTTTAATCTATTTTCAGTTTGGTCCCGCATTTTGTTATTTAGGTAGTAAGAAACAATCATGATGATTGAACGTATTATTATTGGTGAACATTGGAGAGGGACTAATTTGTAATTTCCCTCCTTCGGTAACGCATCTCCATGCTCCTCCCCGTTGAATCGGTCTTATCTGCGGCTCGATGTGCATGTCGTTGTATGGTTCCGGCAATGCTCTCCACCAACGCTGCTTCCGACCTACAAGAAAATGATGAACCGAATTCTCTTATTTCTCACTATATATATCTATATCGAGATGTATACTGTTTATCCCAATTGTAGCTAAATGTAAACAGAACAAATTCAGACAGACGTGACAGACAGGCATGCTTTGAACGTACTGGCCACTAGTGACGACCCAACCACTAATTCCAACGATCCAGGCAAGCGCTCGAAGCCACCCATCGACTCTTTCGTAAGTATATCTCCTCTTGTGTTGATCAAAGTCGTCCTCGTAACAGCCGGAGGAAACATCCTCTGGCGTTACATGATAAAAGATGGGGAAAATTCGACTTCTACGTCCCCAGTTGTGCCTAGAACACCGCATGATATGGACGAGTTCGTCCAAGCACCATGCGGATGACCCGTAGTTCCTTGTCAAAACGACGACATAGGAGCTCGAGTCCTCGATGGCTCGTAGAATACGTTGGTCCACGTTTTCACCTACGTTCGAGTCGTCCATATTGTCATCGTCCCTGAAACCGATGACACGTTTTCTTCCGAGTGTGGAGTGCAGATGGTCTACGAATGTGTTGCGCACATCCACGCCGCGGAAGCTTATGAAGACATCATGTGTCGACCGCCGAGAAGGAGGAGAGGAAGTCGGGTTAGTTATGGTTGCACGGAAGCGGCGCTTGGAAGTTGAGGGGCGCATAGTGAAGATAGAGAGCAGAGGCGCCGGCCGGCGATTACCCTTACTTTATGCTGAAAAGGCAATGAGCAATATTATAGATATAGCGGTGGATGGATGGACTATGAATCTAAGAATTTAGTCTGGATGTCCTATCTTATATATGAAGATAAACAGCTATTAAAGTAGGAACTAATACGACAAACTAATGGTGCTAAATGGGATATTCTATCAACTGAAATGGTACCGTTGAGTTCCTTTGCTATCTAGGCTGCAGGTTAGTGTGACACTGGGGCAAATCTCCTTTGGCACATGCAATATTACCTTTTTTGTTAAAAACTTGTGCATTGGCAGCCTGCCAATATAGAACTGCCCTACTACTTGTGCTGTAATATGCAAACTGTGCAAAGCCCTGTCAATGAAGAACTACATTACCATTTGCCCTGTAATATGTAAGCTGCGGAAAAATCTTCCCTAACAAGTAGTATGGAAGAACTAGAAGGCAACGATATATTGAGGCCGATGGAAAATAATACGACTACGAAAATTTTAAGCGGCTAAAATATGTATGGAAAATAATATGATTACGAAAATTTTAAGCGGATAAAATATGTACGGCCATATATATATGTATTAAACGGAATATTTACCCATTATATATTGTCTAGTGTGAGATTGTTGGGCAAATCTCCTTTGGCACATGCACCATTTTTTGTTAAAAACTTGTGCAGCATGCCAATGTAGAGCTGCCCTACTACTTTACGCTGTAAATATGAAAACTGCACAATCCCTAGCTACCAATGTAGAACTACACTACTACATGCCCTGTCATATGCAAGCGGCATGAAATTAAGCCCCTCCTAATAGGGTTGGGAAACAATCTGGTTCGGTTTAAACCGGACCGGATTGACCCAGGTTTTTACAACCGGATTGGGCATACTCGTGACTGGAGACGGGATTGGATTGGTACATGGTTTTAACCAAACCGAATTGGATGAGATACGGTTTGGTCCGGTTTTGACCGTAAAACCGTCTTGACCGGAGACTGGAATGGTGAGACTGAGTTTTCCTCTGGTAGACCTCGAGCTCGGGAGATCGACGGGGACATCGGCTGCTCTCGAACTCGAACGGAGATCGACGGAAGTCCCGCGACAGTCGCGGGACGAGAATTGGAAAATGGAAATGATGGTGTCGTCTCGTGGTCGTGGTCGTCACTCGTCAAGAGCCGCTCCGCCGTCCGCCATATTTTCTTTAACAGCAGCCGAGGGATCGCTTTCTCGTGGAGGAGGTAGCAGCGGCGAGAGCGAGGGAGATGGAGGGGGAAACTGCTGAATGGAAATGGGAATTGGAAAGTGGTGGATAATAGGGTTTCTCACCCTAGAGCAGTATAGCTAATGGATTGGTGGCTGCTAGACTGGGAATTGGAAATTGAAAAATGGGCTTAATCTAATATGGGCCTGATCTGTTGAAAACTAAGGCTGCGATGGGTTTTGTATGTCATCCGGTTTTACACAGTTTTCCGGTTTTAAACCGGACCGGACCGACCCAGTTTTTCTCAGCACATAAGCGACCGGCAATTGGATTGGGTAGTTGAGAATCCGGTTTCCGGTTAAAACCAGGACGGTTTAAACTGACCAGTTTTCGGTTTAATCGGTAAACCATGACCGGATTTTCAGCCCTACTCCCTAAGACCCTAACAAGTGAAAGGGAGTATGGTTGAGAATCGGTCCAATCCAGTTACACCGACCGGATTAGTACAATTTTCAGTTTTAGTTATAGCAAAATTAGTAATAAGAACTAGACTGGATCTTTAACAACTTCAAGCGAAAACGGACCAAACAATTTTAGTCTGACCCAATTAACCCAAAAACCGGATGTACACAGATTCTTCTCACAATTTTAGTCTGAATTAATTTAACGAAATTACTTACCATAGCACCGTCCGTCACACCTTCAGGCGTCATGTAACGTACCAATTGTCTTCGGTAATTTTTTCAGATATGGGTCATGATACCCCATCCGCCCCACAACTGTTGGCGTCATAATGTCTTCATCTTGCCTATGATCCCACAACAGGATGAACTCTTTTAACTCGTGCTGCCAATTACTAGGTCCTTGCCGACCATCTTTCCCGTGGCACGCCTTCTGACTTTCCGGGACATCTAATGATAAGCATTGCTCACATTCAAATTGCCGTAAACATCGATCCAACAAGTGCCACTCCATAATATGATGACAAATAAGTGGGACTCGGGTGCACCATTGACCGGGATGCAACGGAAATTTGTGGATGTGATGATGAACTCTATGACAAGCTCCAACTTGGACTTCGCTTCGGGTTGTAGGAGATCCAAGTTCGAGCACCCTTCATCGGTGCCTCGAACAAACCGCTCCACCATGAGCTCCAATTGGCTCTTCGGCTCCGGTTGTGGAGTGGCACATGGTCTTGAAGATTGTCCCATGAACGCTTCCATGGCCAATTCCAACTTGGATTTCTCCTCGGGTTGAGGAGGGAAGTTTTCTTGATATGGGGAAGCCTCTTATACCCCCAATGGTATGGTTGTTCTTCTTGGAAGGGGGGGGGGGTTGGTAATAGAACCTGGATCCTTGGCTTCCCCCTTCTTCTTCACTCCATGAAGCTCCGGGGTACCCCCATTCGGATGGTTGTGGATACCCCCACCTATTGCAGAAGTCATTGGGATCCATGATTCATAACCTACACAAACAAAAACACAAAAAGAAAATCAAACAAACACAAACCACCCTTCAAGACGAAGAGTGGGTAAACAAAACACCACACGAAACACAAACAAAAAGGCAAGAAAGAAAATGCTAGAGTGACCTTTTCAAAATAATGGATCGTTGTTCCCCGGCAACGGCGCCAAAAACTTGACTCGCACGAAACTACACCACAAATTAATCCCTAGAGTCCAAGTTTTTAAACTCTAGCCGGGTGCGGTATAGAGCAAGTATTTAAATATCAACTCGAGCTGGTCCATGTGCCCCTACTTCAATCGCTTAAGTTGTTATCTAGAAAAACGGTTTTGGGTTTTAAAATTAAGAAAACTACAAACTAAACTAGCAAGGAAAAGTAAATAAAGGAAAAGTCTAAAAAGGGAGCTTCACCCGGGAGTTGCTGCCCCCCTAACTAGCTACCGTGACTCGTTGGATTGAAACGATTGCTATGGGCCAGGTAACTACGAACCGCAGAGGGATGCATATGTGGTCGTAGACCACAATCTCAATTGCTAAACCGAGGTAAGCATTATAGGCCGTGTCACTCGACCCTCTCGGTTTAGGCAACCGGTGGTTGACTTACTCCCTCACTCAACTCAAGGGTTGGACGGCTTAATCACACTTAACCAATTTGCCTAATTCAACATTGAGGTTTGCCCTAAATTAGCCTAGTTAGGTGGCTTAAAAAGCTAAAGGAAAATCAACTCGAGTGAGTCTCCCTTAAAAGGGGGATTTTCCTCTCTAATCTAGGTTAAAGTGGCTAATTAGATTGCTAAGCACCAACATGCACAAATCTAAGGATGCTAAGCATAATTATGCACAATCCTTAGGTTTCTAAGCACCAACATAAACAAACCTAAGAATGCTAAGCACAAAACATGCATAACCCTTAGATTGCTAAGCACGAGCATGCACAATCAACATGAATAATACCTCAATCATTGAATTAAACAATACCCAATGACAATCATTCAATATAAACAAGTAATTACAAAGTATTAGTTAGGGATCTACAACACCCAAGAGAAAAGAGTGAGTTTTAAGAGAGAGAGAGAGAAGAGAGGGGTTACAAATTTGAGCTCAAGATCTTCTTCTTCTTCTTCTTCTTCTTCTTCTTCTTCTTCTAGGCTTGAATCCTCCACCCAAGCCTCCAATGATGCTCCAAGATCACTCTAGCACTCTCTCTCTCACACTAGAACTCCCCTTTGGTGCTCCAAGATCACTCTCCCTTCTCTCTCCCCGCTGTTGTCTTCATATTTGCCCGAAAGTGACCAGTTCACGGACGCGTTGGCCAGTTCATGGCCGTGAAAACCTAAATGCGTCCGTGAACTCAGTGTCGTCCAGAACGCACCGCTTCACTCGCATGGGTTCACGGTCAACGGCCCCAGTTCACGGTCTTAGAGACCGTTAACTGCCTTGTCGTCAGTAACTTCTGGAACCTCGCTGGACTGCTCGATGTTCACAGTTTGTGGTCCATGTTCACGATCTTAGGAGACCGTGAACGACTTCGGACTTTTCTTCGATTTTTGCACTTTTTGACCTCCAATTATCCCAAAATTCGACCTCGACCCTTCCACACGTGCTAGGACCTGAAAGGCATCAAAACAAGCACAACCTAGCGTGAAATATGTCGATGAAAAATGAAATACTAAGCTAAACGAATAAGAAATGAGGGTTAAAAGGTGTACATTTGAGCCCGAATAAGTTCTCGCATGTTGTTTGACAAACCACCTTATTCATGAGGAAAATTATACAATGTTATAACATACTAACAATTGTACTATAAAATACTAAATTAGTTAAAAGAAGGTGAGAGCTATTAGTGGGATAGAAGAAGTTTACCTACAACCATAAGCTTGGAGTCGTAGGGGATGGTTGGGTCCTCATTCCTTGTCGGGTTTTACCACGGGTGCAATCCATGGCAGATGCTCGCAAGCCCAAAATTAGACGATGAACATCGCCCCATCAATCTCCTTCACCGTTCTCGAAGTTTCCCATCAATCTCCTAGCTCATATCTACCGCTCCCTCTGTAATGCAACCTCGAGAACGGTGAAGGAGATTAATGGGGCAACTCCCTGAAAAATCCTTCAACTTAATCAACCCCGTGGCGCTCCATATGAAATGCTGCCAACCGCTCATATTCTCAACAACTTTAGGTGGCGCAAAAGAGTCCACACACACAACATCGCCATCGATGGGCATCAGTTAGGATGACGATGTCCTTCAGTGTAATGGTGCACTTGCCTTCACGAAAGTTGAAGCAATGTGTCTCCTTTCGCCATCTCTC